TTAACGCTGTGCTGTGGCTATTCACTGCCTGCCCCCAGGGCCAACAGAGAGAAGATGGGGAACAAGACATGAGGTAGATTCAAGAGGCTGGCTAGGTCCAATATAAGGAGCTAGAGATCCACAGCCACGTGAGGGAGAAGCTGCACCAACAGAGGGAAATGTGACTCTTTCCTGAAGGCATAGGTTGTCAGGTTTAAAAGGCCTGTATTAATGATACTCCCCCAGCCTCACTGGGAACCATGCAGCCTGTCTACCAAGGGACTCACACCACCCTCCTTCATTCCAATATCTGACCGCCTCACAATTGCTAATGTATGCAGCCTCACAACTACACAAAGGGAAAACTGAGGCACAGCTATGTACATCTAGCATAATGGAATATGACAGCTTTATATACATATTAATTTGAGTCCAAAAATGTTTAGTAATGATCTAATGACTAAACAAACCATCCAGGCGTGGAGGTTTAGCTTAATTAAACTCAGTCACGTCATGCTTGAATATCTTAACTAACAACAGATACATAAAAAAAAATTTTCAGAAGCCTTTAATAACCATTTTGCAAAGGAGAGAAGCCACAATTTTTGAGCTTTAATCTGCATTCTTTGAAGTCAATGGCAAAACTTTGGAGCAGCTGCCTGCCCGCCCACCATGCAGCCCTGGCCCTGGCCCTGGTCCTGGCTGGAGCAGCCACCCACAGCCACGGATGGTCCTGGTCCTGATCGGCCACCCACCACGCAGCTCCTCCAGCCCTTGCCAGCCAGAGCAGCCACCTGCCTCCCACCATGCCTCTGCACAGTTCTGCTTATGAGGTGGTTGGGGTAGAAATTTCTTGTGCATGCGCAAGGGGCCACTGATTCACAGAAAAATCAGTTGGGAGCCACACACAAGTGAGAAGAAAAACAAAAAAAATAAACAAACCCTCACTGACATGGCCCCCAACTGAGGAGAAAGGGCATCCCCCATTCCCTTTGCACACCAGCACCTAGGAAGGCCCAGGCTAATAGATTTTGTGTACTCTAGCCCTGTGGCGGGATAGCAGGAGGGCTGGAGCACCAGCATAGGCTCCTCAATGCTGAGCGGGAGTCCTGAGACCCAGGGGCCAGATTCAGACAAGTCGGGCGGAATCCGCCCGGGGCCATAAATTCCCCACCCCTGTAATCCTAAAAATGACAGAGTTGTAATGATCTGTCTTTCAGGGTACACCCAAGAGGCAACCCTCAGGGATCTCCGACTTCAGTTTAGACCGAGTCTCTGGCTCTTTAGAGTTCAAGCTGCCAAAAAGATGGAACATTTTTCTGTGACTTTATTTTCTTCATTCAGCCTCCAAGCCTTCTAGCTTGCCAGACCTATTAGCATAACATTGAACCTGTGAAAGAGCTATTAAGTGTGAATGAAACCATTTAACAGGCATTGTGCCAACCCTACTTACTGACAAACACTGTTGTGCATTACTGTGTTACAGGGCCTTAGTTTAAAATTTGCTTTAAATACTTTATTTGGTCTGTGGCTAAAGAATATAAAATCATATTGCTAAAAATCCATGAACAGATATTTAGATGCACAATCTCAGTATTCAGCTTTGGCATTAAATGCTTGGTTCTTCAGACATGTAGTTTAACAAATTCTTCAAAAGACAACCTCTCTTTAAAACACACATTTTAATTTAAATTACTATATTACAAAAATTGGCTTCCAAAGTTTTCCTGTCCTTTCTATCCATCCCTACTCTCCTTTCACACACTGTCCCTTGAAGAAAGCCCTTAAAGGAACAACATTCCTGTTTTTTCCAGATAGCTGATAATTTCCCTTTTACTTCTATTTGATGAGCTAGTTTTAATAGGACCCTCCATCAAAACCAATACCTTACTAAGATATAAAATCCTTTGATATGCCTAAAATCTTTGGGACTACATCTTAACATGAACATATGATGAAATGTAATAAACATTAAATTGTTATGAAAATCTCACAAAATAAATTACTATTCCCTTTTTCTAAAAGCAGTGAACTTTATTATGAACATACAAAACTGCTCTGACTGGTTAATTTAAAATAATATCTTGTTTCAGTGAGTTTAAATATGTAATAATCTGGAATGATTACTTTATGAAGGCTTAAGAGTATATTTAAAACGTAGAATCAGCTGAGAATTACTGATGAAGAATATGTAAAACAGAAGAGCTGCATCGTATATTTCATAATTTTTAATGTTGTATTAATCAGGACAACTGGCTCACCCTTACTACTAAAACAAAAGTTAGTATTTAAAGTGCTGCATAGTCCTAACAAGACGGTTTATTAGGTGATGAGCTTTCGTGGGCCAGACCCACTTCCTCAGATCAAATTGTGGAAGAAAATTGGCATGACCATATATACCAAAGGGATACAAACAAAAAAAAGTGAACCCATATAAAGTAGACAAATCAGATTTTAGAACAGATTTGTCTGCTTTATATGTGTTCACTTTTTTTTGTTTGTATCCCTTTGGTATATATGGTCATGCCAATTTTCTTCCACAATTTGATCTGAGGAAGTGGGTCTGGCCCACGAAAGCTCATCACCTAATAAACCATCTTGTTAATCTTTAAAGTGCTGCATAATCCTGCCTTTTGTTTCAGCTAGACCAGACTAACACAGCTACATCTCTATTACTATTCTACATGCAAGGCCTCACTACTAAGTTTTTGCAAACAATTCTCTGGCAGACTTCAGGAGATAAAAATTTGTGACTGAATTTTATTCCCAAAATTAGTGCTTTTAATTAAGTACTTTCTGCATGTCCAGTCTTCACAATCTTGCATGCAATTGAAAACATTCTCCATTTTATTTTTTATTTATTTTAAAGAAATGTGAGAAGAGTAGGGCTTTTCCCCCCAAATATATGCTACATTTAGGTTCAACGGATGAGCAGAGAAAAGAGTGAGACAGTGGGGAGGGGGCTTGGTCTGGGAAGAGCTAGCTATGCCAATGCATAGATGACTACATGATTAACAGATAAACCTTGTTTTATCAGTTAATCCTGTTGACTACACACATCCTCCCTCCCTCACCCCCGCTGCCCCTGCATCAGAGGAAGCAAGATAGGGGGGAGGCAGGAACCAGTGGCCATGTAGAGACAGTTTTAAGACAGCTCCCCAGGAGCAACCAATGCACCTGCCTTCCCCACCCTCACGCAGCTGTCTCTGATAAAGAAGCAGCAGTGCGGAAGATGAGGGGGGCAGGCGGGAGTCGGTATGTGTGGAGAACCAGCTTTTAAGGCATCTCTCCACGCACGTTGGCTCTATGGACCCTCCTACAGAGGCAGCAAGGAGGGTCAGGCAGGAACTGGTGCTGGGGGAGCCATCTTAAAAGCCACCGGCCCCCCAGCACCAGCTCCACAGACCCACCTGTCCCTCCTCCCCCTCCCCGCCAGCATTACTGCCTCTGGCAGAGGAGGCTGATGCAAAGCAGTCTGTCCATGGCAGGCCCAAGTTTGCCACAGACAGAGGCTGCTCCACGGCAGCAGCCTCTGTCTTCAGGGAGTCCATGTTCTCAGCAAAGGGTTGTTCCGGTATCCCATGGAGGAGCCCCTGTCCATGGGGGAATCCAATCTCCTGAAGACAGGGTTTGCTCAATCTGCAGGGAGCTCAGACCTTCCCCCCCTCCCGACAGAAGCTGCTGCTACAGAGCAGCTTCCAACCTAAACCTCCCTTGCTGCAGTTTAAGCCCATTGCTTCTTGTCCTATCCTCAGAGGCAAGTAGAACAATTTCCCCCCTCCTGAAACCTGAAAACCACTATCATGCCCCTCTCAGTCTTCTCTTTTCCAAACTAAACAAGCCCAATTCCTTCAGCCTTGCCTCATAGTTCCTGTTTTTTAGACCTTTAATCATTTGTGTTGCTCTTCTCTGGACCCCCTCCAATTTCTCCACATCTTTCTTTAAATGTGGAGCCCGGTTGTATTTAATATACATATATATTAAACTGAAGTTGTGGATAGATTCTTCTTTGAAGAACCTGCAGTGCTCCCCCTTCAACACTATACTAGGTGGATTACACAACAAACATTGTTAAGGTTTTAGTGGGGGTTTTTTTGTTTGTTTTAATATTCATACAATGTATTGAATTAAATGTATTAATGAATGAGCAAGTGTCAAATACAAGTGTTAACCTGTTTGACTTTTCTTAGACTAACAGCATCAAGTATTTTATTTCTACAATACCGAAGTGCACCTATTATTTGAAAAAAACAACAATGGTCCTGTAGCACTTTAGAGACTAATCAAAAATATATGGATAGCATCACGAGCTATCCAATGACAAAGCATCACCTGAAGATAGGGAGATGGGGTGTCTTACTGGCTATGTCATCAGCTTCTGGAGCCTGGAATTGTAGGTTCGAGTCCAACCCATGCCTGCCCCTCTTCCCCAAGCAGATGGCTAGTCTCTTACAAAGTAATTTCAGTAGTAAACTAGACTGAGTCTACAGAACTGGCCATCATATGCAAATTTGATACCATCTCTCATAGCTTCAACAAAGACATGAACTGTATGGGCCACTATATTCAACACCCAAGTGACATCCAAAGCTAAGTATCGGACATTTACAGCCTACACTATTAGTTTCATTTAACACAAACACTTTAATTGACAGGTTTTTTCCTCCCTCCCTCCCCCCTTTTCTGCTTTATAATTCAACCTCTGTGCTTCCTGCTCCATATTTGCCATCTGAAGAAGTGGGTTGTATCCACAAAAGCTCATGACACTATCTATATATTTTTGGTTAGTTTGTAAGGTGCTACGTGATCATTGTTGTTTTTTAAGTTTTTTTAGTTACAGACTAACACAACTGCCCCTCTGAGACTATTATCTGAAGTCATTTGGCCTTTTGAGCTCTACCCTCAGACTTGGCAGAAATAGATGTCAGTGAACGTTTGTGTTTGTTGATTTGACATGAAAAAAACCTAGAGTAATACCTTTCCATTCCCATTAATCACATTTTAATCAGTGACAAGGTTTTAAAAGCCCATCTTGGAATGTCCATACATAACCATATATTGATCTAATGAGAAAAAACAAAAAATGGTAACAGAAGCAGGAAACTGAGGCAACTGCTTATTTCCAACAGCACTAAAGCCAGAGTCTGCTTTTAATCAGTTTATTTTTTTTCCTTGGTCATACATTTAAAAACATTTACACTAATACAAAGTAAAGAAATTACAAATGTTATATTAAAATTAAAACAAAGTTGAATTTAGCTGAGACTATTCATAACTCACCAATGGAGAGTGTTTCCTTAGTATTAACATATACCATTGTTGCTTATATTTCATAAATAGTTTGGAGAGAGAATATTCTGAAACCTGTAAATCTGCTAACAACAGAAAGAAAAATTATTTAAATAGAAAAGCAGCACTCTCTATAACAAGCAAACAATTAAAAGCAGCAAAGGAAAATCAGGTGTTTGGAATCATGCCTAATTGCAATTATTAAATCATCTCATGAATCTGCTATTTTCTTCAGAGTTGTGGGTGCTCCACAGTGATAACTCCAAAATATAATAAAGTGTGAGTGGAAAAGTAGATTTCTGATTATGGGACGTTTTATACAGTTACCTAAAATAGGATACAGGATGAGAGTTGCTTTGACATATTATACATTCCGTAAATTGCAAAGTTTACAAGTAAATACATAATCTCTAATGCAAAATCTCTTCCAGTTAATTGAAAGAATTTGTGTCTTATATTCCTATGAAAGAGTTGTGAACAGTACATTTTAAAAATTCTCTGTGTTGAATTATTTTGCATGATTCACAACTAAAAAATGTAGGCTTTCTAATCCAGATGACCTCATAGTGCAGGGAATGCAGGGAAATACACCAGCATTTATATTTAAAGCCCTGCACAGGTACAAAATTGGTATCTGCATCTGCGCCTGCAAAAATGATCCACAGACACTCACAGATATAAAGCAGATATCCATGGAGCTGTTCCCAAGGGGGGCAGCAGCAACAGGGGGCAATGAGTCAATTAAAATTCCCAAGTAGGACCCATGGGCAAGAGTTCAGAACTGGCACAGTATGTGGCTATTATTAAGTGGGGAACAGAAAGAGGCCATGGGGAAATTCCCAAGGAAGGAGTTCCCACCCTTCTTGGGGATAGCTATGGCACAGCCCCTGGGGTGAGTTCTCGCACACAGGGAGGACAGAGGACCATTGCCAAGAGCTGAGCAGGAGGAATAGGACAGTGCTGTACGTAGGGACCTTGTCCCCTCCCTGCCATCCAGCAGCTGGAACAAACTAGTGGGGCAGGACATGCAGGGAAAATCAAGGTCCTGTCCATTGCAAAGGGAGGCAGGATCCCTGCTCAGGCATTTCCCACCCTGCTAACTGGGCATGGCTATGGGCTGGGGACACAAGGTCGCAGGAACTGCTAAACCCACCAGGAGAGCCAGGGCCTAAATAGAGAATATTTGTGGACTGTAGCACATGAACCAGTATGTGAGAAGCAGGGAAGGAGCATAGAGCCTGGTTGCCAGGGTACTCCCTCCCCTCCCCTTAGACTAAGCATGGGAGGCCTGAGGCCCTCAAACTTGAAGTGCCTGGCACTTTTATGGACCATCCCACCAAGCTGCTCTTGGGCCAGAAGGCCAGGAACTCACAATCTCCAGGCCCCGGGGGGGCCTGGCAATAGCTGCCAGGTCCATCCGGAGCCTGCCTTTCCCTCTTCCAGGAACCTGCTGCCAAATCTCCTCCACTCAATCTCCCATTGTGCAGCAGTGAATGATTTCTCTTAGCTAACGGGAAGTTTAGAACTATACACCCTGCCTGGCATACACTATCCAGCACTGCTCAACTGTGGGGGGAGGAGAGGGGGAGGGCTCTTCCGTACCTAGATTCACAACTTCTCCCTGCTGATGGGAGACCTGAGCCAAGAGCCAGCAGTCAGCCTGTAGGGCACCTCCTCACCCCACCACACATGGAATGGGGCCGTCCTAGAATGGCTCTTGCGCAAGAGAGGGGTTTTGCGGAAAAAGGAGCCATCTACAAAAAGCCTCTTGTGCAAAAACGGTTGCTAATTAATTATGCAAATGAAGCATGGTTATATTCTACTCTGCGCTTTATTTGCATATGCTTTTGCAGAAGAAGGCTTCAGTATAGACGTAGCCCAAGAACAGTAGTTAACTCTGAGGCCAAACTAGATGATCCCAGCCATGCAGGGTTCACACATGTGCTATTCGCAGTCCCAGGGCTCCTGCTGTGATTGACAGGGCTGGGTACTAGTTGTGGAACAGCAGGCAGAGGAATGGCCCCCAGCCAAGGAAAGGAGAGGAAGGAAGTAGTGATGGGATGGCAGCAGGCTCATGTCTTAACAGGATTCTGCTTCCTCTCCCCTATGCCAAGCCCAAAGGAATAGAGGTAAGGAACCTGGCTGCTCTGAGCAGCGGCAGAGGCTGTTGTACCAGGTACTCTCAGATAGTTGCTATGAATGGTCCCTTGGAAAGTAGCAGAGAACTTAGGTTGACAGATGGTTTTAACAAAAATACCGGACATACTTGATAAAAATTTGTCGACCCAAAAAAATATATACATGATATGGGAAGTTTACAAATGACAGTCTACATTACATTGTATATTTTACATTAGATTGTGCGGCATTTATCAATTTTTTATTTTTCAAAAATTCATCTTTTGCTTCCAAACAAGTGAAAGGTATATTAAAAAAAACACAAAGTTGGCTTCTTACTGACTCAACACTCAATCTGTTGCGTTCATCGGTCCATAGATTACCCATGACACTAAAAATTCTTTCCACACCGGCATTTGACACAGGAATTGAAACAGAATATTGAACCAGTTTTAATAAATTTGAAGCAGCAGGTTCTTTGCTGAAAAAATATTTCCACTTATCAAGAGATGTTGTTCCCTCAAGGGAAGTGAACATCATGTCCAAGGCACATACTTCCTCATAAAGAGAATTTGGAGGGAGCTCTTTTTTCCATGGTGACATCATCCAGATTTGAATTATTTCATCAAAAGAAGGAGATTTCTCCCGATTAGCCAAACTCAAAGCACTCAAAGCGCAATATGGTGAATTTTCAAAAGGAAACCACTTCTCCAGATATTTGAGGGCTCTTGTGTACACATTCAGTGCTTCAGAGGTAAATTTATTGACTACATGAACTGGTAACTGGTCCTTCCCCAATGCGAATGTAATTTTCATGCCGAAAAACTTATCATCAATTTTTTTTCTCAAGGAATTTCGGAATTTTTCCATGATCAAATAAAGGTCACAAGAAAGTGTTGATTGGTTTTCCAATTTGAGCAAGGTATCTTGGAATTGTGACATGAAATAGTGAGTGAAATAAAGATACAGCTCAGAGAGAGTTGGTTGTTCATCACTTGCCATTTCGTCTTCCTGATCAGAAATAATATTCCATATTGCCACATGGCAGTCATCAGAGCCAAGCGAAAGAAAATAAGCTTTTAGTGGTCGCCAATTCAACAGCAATTGCTTGATTGCATTAAACAAACTAAGCCATCGAGTTGGAACATTCCTCATGACTTCGTGGAACTCAACCTCACAAAATTCAAAAAAATCTTTCAACTCTTCTGGTTTTTCAGCTGAGTTAGAAAATTCTGCAAACACTTTTAAAACTAAGTTTTCAATGTCAAAAGATAGAACTTTCAAAGCATATTTGGCACAGTTATGCAAAATGTGATTAATACAGTGAGCTGCAATAATATTTTCATTCTCTTGCTCGGCTAACTTTTGAAAAACTGAATTGTTTACGCCATAATTCATTGAAGAGTTGTATACTCCATATGCTGAAACATTTGTCCATGATAGTCCTTTTTCATTCAGCACATGACACAATTGATCTTTTATGGACTGCGAATCTTCAAATGCATTTTCATAAAAATCTAAGATTTTGAAACATAGTCCTTCTTGAGGGGTAAAATACTGTACAGCCACAGGAAAGAATTTGTGATTTCCTTTGTTAGATGCATCAGTGGCAACCGAAAACGGCATGCAATTCTTTAAATCATTTAGAAGCAGCTCTATTGAGAAAGGATACAAAACGTTATTAACAACAGCAGAAGCTTTTGTGCGTCCAGCTGTCATTTTCTTGACAATTTCAGAATCTTGAAGTACTTGTTTCATAACTTTGACGCTACAGTCTTGAGCAAGAAAAGAGATGTGATGCTTCACTCCATGGTAAATGTGAGTCAACTCCGCAACAGTTACTTGTTCACTTTGTGCACTGTCTTGGATGAGGAAGAGGGAGCTCATTCTCTGGAAAGCAGCAGCAGCCTGCACATTTTTCACATGTTTAGTAGAGTTAGCGTGTTGTGTTAATGCCTTAACACCATCATACGCTATAATCAAGGATGCATTGCACAATTTACATCTGACTTTAGCTTTGTCGTTATGATCCATGACAACCCAAGAAAATTGGTTTTCCCAGTTTGAATTGTAATGGCACATTCTTCTTCTTTTCTTAGGAGGTGTTGCACTGGAGGTTGAAGGTGTCGGTGCCTCTTGTTTAATTTCCTGTAGGTAAGTTTTATCTTCATCTTCTTCATTACTCATTATGGATATCAAGATCCTAAATTAAATACAAAAAATTCTTGATTTAAGGCAGCCAGCCTTTTTTGATAAAGCTGCCAAATATTCCTTACCTTAAAAGAGCGCTGCAAGATACGAGAAAGATGAAAGCTAGACAACGGACAACACTGTCGTGAATTGTACATTTAAAAAAAGGAAAATATTCAGCACTACTGCGTAGTTGCGTACTGCCTGGCTGGTAGACACGTTCATAAAGTGTGAGCATGTCTACCAGCCAGGCAATACACAACTACGTACTGAAACTGGTATCCAAGTGGCCAATCGGCATAGTAGCACATAGCACAGGTCTAGAGAGTGAGTGAAAATTATCATGCACAAGTCACGTCATAACATGATAATAAAAAAAACTTAATTAGAAAATACCAGACATTTATATGTCCGGTATTTTCTCAATTTGTGTCCCAGACAGAAAGCTCAAATACCGTACTGTCCAGTTCAAAACTGAACGAATGAACTCCAGCCAGTCAGGGGCAGCTGGCTGTCAGGAAGAGCTCATGGCAGCAAAGCACCTACCCAGGCAGGTATCCTATTAGGGAGCCCCAGGAGAGAGCCCCCCCTACCTCTGAGGGACAGGGAGCTGTATGAATGGCTCTGGCCTGCCAGCCAGGGTTAGTGTCTAGGCCTTACCAGGCCCCAAGCCTTCCTGACTACAGAAGGCAGAGCAGGGAGCAGTTGGGTGACAGACGTGGCTGTTTCAGTCACGGCAACAAGACACTTACTGTCCTCAGCATGAGGCAGCGGGTAGGGAGTCCCTCAGGGACAGCAGCTAAATGGGATGGTGGAACCCTTCCCTGGGCCGCAATGCCATCATGCTCCTGGTTCTTCAGTCCTAACATAGCAGTCACATTGCTGCTCTAGTGGCCACAGCACATGTCCTTCACCAGACCTCTGCAGCTAAAGCAGGCCCTGCTGAAGGCAGCCTCACCAGCAGTGCTTTCAGGTGGGAATGGGCTGGGCCCATGCCCACGGTACATTGCTCTTCCCAGGACTTTATGCATGCTGGTGTGGAAACAGGCTGAGCGGTAGGAGTGTTGGGGGACCATCCTGGCTGGCTGTCAGGTAGCTATGCTAAGTGCCTTGTCAACAATACACAGCTGTAGGAAGAGCCCTCTTTGGCCTCAATTCTTTGATCTTCTCTTGCATTGCCCCATGACTCCTCGGCATCATCTGGGTCTGATGGAGTTTCACCTCCTGGATTCTCATTTGCAAAGGAGAACTACAGGGTTGGGCAGGTGAAGAGGAGCAGGGCAAACCCCAGAGCTGGAATTTCTATTGCTTAGCAGCCAGAGAGGGAGAATGAGCAGAGCAACAGCACTGACTCCTGCAGCCTCCAGTGAGGGGACAAGGCAGCCAGGGCCCCTGCAGACAGACACCCCCATTTGGTGGCTGAGTCACCCTAGGTCCTGCCCCTTACTTAGTCTTGATTGTCTCTCTGTGTCCCAAGGAGTAGCTCCCTCAGCTTGTTCACCTGCCTCAGGATATGGAAAAAAATTACCCAATTCTCTTGCATTTTAGAATCAGAGCCTGCTTGGTGCTTGTCCCAGATCAGTTCTGCTCTGGAGTTCATTCCTAACCCAGTTCTGGTGCCTACTCACCTGAAATCTGATTCACAGGGTCTGGTTCAGCTTGTCAACGTATGCACCTCAGACATCAATCTCTGCCTGGAGCTTGGATTCCAGGCTTTCCAGCTAGTGCTGACAGTCAGAGCTATGAGAGCAAGAGCCAGATAGCCTCTTCATAGGGCACAGAGCAGATCGAACAGGAGCTGCATAGCTGTGCTCTCAGGGGGAACCCTGCCTTCAGGGGGAACCAAGCTCTGCTCACCAGGATGACCCATCTTTGGAGGATACTGTCCAGCAGACATTGGGCTTAGTTCAACCCCCATTGCTTCAACCCATCCTCACAAGCACCCAGCCTCAGGACCATACATGGGAAAAGAACAATGCATCACCCACCAGTTCTGCCTGGGATCAAGGGGATGATAAGGGGACCCCTCCCCCCAGTCTTGCTGAGGGGTGATGGCTGGGCTGAGAAGACACCCTGTGTGTATGGAATCGCCACCTGGTGTAATGTTATGTTCTGGCTGACAGGGCTGGCTCTGGGGGTAGCTGGGGCTACAGTCCTAGAAGTGATGCTCAGCTGCCGAAGGATGGGAGATGGGGGAGTGACAAATCAGTAAAAAGCAGCGGTACTTCCCAGAACCTGCTGGGCACTCCAATCACTCCTCCTTTGACTCGAGGGCCAGATGAAAAATTCACACTTTAGCCTGCAGCTCCTGAACCACACAGTGCATCACCTTCTGGCTCTGGGCACTCACAGTGCTGAGATGAGAGAGAGCAGGTCGCAACTCCAAGACAGTCTCCCACTGGCTTTCCTTGATCTCTGAGGCCAGAGACACCAGCCAAGTGTTCGGCTGGTGTGCAATGCTGCCAAAAGCATCAAGCTAGTCCACAATGCTGGGTTAACAGAGAACCCCTCACAAACAGAAAGGAAATAAACCCAATTGCTACGCCAAGCTCAGGTTCCAATTAGGGCTGAAATAAGATAACTGCTCACACAGTTAACCGATAAACTTGGGCTTATCATTTACGATGTAAAGTTACATGCAGGCTCCCACCTCGCTTCCGAGGAGCTGGCTGCTACCCCACGCTGCAGGCTCTATATCGGAGGCAGCAATGTGGGTAATGTCAGCTTGCCAGGAGTGGGGCTGGTAGACAGGAGCCAGTACGTGCCAGGAGCCAGCTTAAAATCCAGCTTGTAGTGTGCACTGGCTCCTGGGGGGCTAGTTGTGCTGTGGGTTCGTGTAACCGCTGAGATTTTCAGCAGATGCATGGTTACCCAATTACCCACTTTCTTAACATCCCTAGTTCCAATCACCAAGCAAGGTCTGGGGCAGCACCAGGTGAAGACGACACTAGATGCTAAGCCTGAAAGAGTGGGCAGCTGTAGCCCACTTGCATAGCCAAAGACCCCAGCCTCTTTGATGCTGAGCAATTACAAGAGGGAATCAGCTGCGGAGTCAAACCTGAATGAAAGGAACAGGCTTTGCTCCCTAGGAAAGCCTAGTGCACTTAGGGATTTGCTCTAGGGCAGGCATGTCCAAAGTCCGGCCCGCGGGCCAATTGCAGCCCGTGTTCCGGTTTAATATGGCCCCCCAGGTAATTTGGCAATATCTATCTTTTATGGCCCCCAACGAATCCATATGTATTGAGAAGAATACATTGTAAAATCTCAGTTAATGTCAGTTGGTCTAAATCAGTTATAAATATATTTGGACACAACATGTATACTTGGTGTTATGTTCCTGTTCATATTTTTTGAACTTAAAAGTTGACAGACAACCTTTATTACCAATAATATGTAATGTACTTTACAATGTTCCTGACATATATTTCAGTTTCCTGGATTTTTTTTTTCATCTGGCCTTCAGATATGAAAGGCAGAGTGATTTAACACCTGTTTAGATTTGTCATCCATGTGACGAAATGAAAAGTATGCCGTTTGCAATAAACTTTGCATAAAATAGTTAATTTGCATTTAATTTTAATGGTTCAAAGAATGTCAGGCAAAATGGTTGGCCCTCACGCATGTTCACTTCATCAAATCTGGCCCTCTTTGAAAAAAGTTTGGACACCCCTGCTCTAGGGAGTTTCCTTTGACCAGACTAGTGCCCCTTTACACTGGAGACTAGCGAGGCCAGGTTTATTGGCAAGGGAGCAAGTAGCCAGGACTGGGAAGAGAGGGCAGACACTGTTACCTGCTAGAATCTGAAAACTTGTGCTCCAGCCTCCAGCAGCTTCTTCACTGGTGCCTGTAACAAAGCAAGTCAAAAGAGCTTGGCACTGGTTACTGTCTCTGACCCTGATTCATGCCTAGGCCATAGTGTCTGCACAGACCTGGGAGCTTTCCTTCTCTGCCAATCTCTGGGCTCAGGCCTGGAGAGAGGAGACTGGTCTGAGGCCCTGTTCACAGCGCTCCATCATGCCCCATGTGAGGAGCCCTGGGACCAGGCCACCCCAAGGCAGCTAGGGCTCTGCGCGTTCTGCCAGCCACGCTGTGGTGGAAAGAACAGCAGCCGCCTCGAAGAGCTGAGCCATCGCCTGCCTGCAGGCACCCTGGGAAGGAGGCTTCACACAGACAGGGAGCCCTGGGCATTGCGAGGCCTAAGCCCTGCTTGCTCCGGAAGCACTGACAGGCCGCACTGGAGCAGCCTGGCCGCGGCTCAGAGGCAGCTGGGGGTTGCCCGATACCGTCACAAAACATCCCACACACGCAGGGGGGAAACGGGCTGAGCAAAACAAACCAAGAGAGGCCGCTGCGCCTTTAAATCCCCGCGCGCCCTCCCCGCCAGCCGCGGGAAAACGCCCCCGCGCCCTCCCCTCCGCTGAAGACAGAGGGCACCGGACATGTTACAGGCCCGGTACGTTCGGGGTGTTTTTCACCGGACGGAAGGCGCGATCACCGGCCTGCTCGGCCGAAAAACGGCCGCTCGGCAACCGCCCCGCGGCCCCTTTCCCTTGTCCTCCTCGCGCGGCCGCCCCTCCCCCGCTCGCAGGGCTTGTCCTGAGGAAGTATGGCGGGGCCCCACGCAACTCCCCCCCTCCCCCCGCTTCTACCCAGGTCCAGCTGCTTCCCTGCCGCCCGGCTCTCGCCCCATTCCGGCGCCTTCCCTTGCCTGTGGCGGGGCCGCGGCTCCCCTTCCCCACTCCCCGTGGCCGGGCTCCAGCGCTGCTCTGGGGCTGCCTTACAGCGGCGCGGCGAGCTCGGCTCTGGCCCGTCTGGCAGCAGGGCGCCCTCTGCTGGCCGAGAGGAGCACGTGCGGGAGGGGGAAGGGCGGAGCCCCGCAGCAGCCACGGGCGCGTAATCGCTTGGGGCTGCACGGGGGTGGGGGCCCCGCGGAGCTGCGTATTTCGCGTCTGCGTAGGGACAGCCCTGCCTGCTCACCCGTACAGCGGGGGGAAAAGCCCCCCCCCCTTTGTTGTCCCATGCACCGCGAGACAGCTGCTCCCCTCTTCCCTGCCCTCACTCGCTGGAGCATGCTCAGTCCCCTCATCCCCCCTTTCCCTTGTCTTCCTGGTGCATGAGGGTGTGCTCAGTTGCCCGCCCCCTCCTACTTACCTGTGCAGTGGGCACAGCACGTTCATCCCTCTCCCATGCTAGCCTATGCACCAGGGTGTGGCAAATCGCCCCTGCTACCATGTGGAGAGAGCATGGTAAGCGCACCCCTCCCATGTTAGCCCATGCACCTGAATGCAGGGGTTCCACCACCCATACTCTCTTGCATGGGTGGCAAGTTATATGGACTGGTGGTGCCCATGCTCCAGCAATATTCAGAGCCGGGGGCCCTGCTCCACCAATATTTGGAGCTGGGTCTCTCCCCAGGCCCTGCCCCAAGCGTGTTACCTCCAGAGGCCTGGCTAACGGGGGTCAGGAAGCATGGCTAATGGGGAACCACCAAAAATTATACAAACCTGCCGCCCCTGTTCTCTTGTGCAGTTGGACATGTCTGCTCCTTGTATCAGGGCATTATAATCTCCCACACCCGACTCACAGAGAGGCTATCCACAGTAGCAGCAGCAGTGCCTGCCCCTAAGTGCCATGATGGAATGTGCAAAGCTGTTGGGGCCATATATTGCACACTCCTGGTCTGGGTGGGTCTCAGCATGGAAAGGGGGACAGGAGGTTGAGGAGGAGGGAAAGTTACTACTCAGGCCTCAGTTACCATAACAACAGTATCCAGGAGATAGGGAATTCCAGAGCTTCATTGTCGGGGCAACAGTATCCATGATACAAAGTTGTTGGCAGCTGTGTATTTGGGGAACTCCAGTTACAAGAGATGCTAGAACTCACTTACCATGGCAAAATAATACTAGAACATAAGATCATAAGGGCCAGAGTGGCCAGGCCAAACGTCCAGCATCCTGTCATCTGGCAGCAGTCAATGCCAGATGCTTCAGGGATGAACAGAGCAGATAGTACCAGGTGCTTCAGAGAGAATGACTAGATAAATGGCTTTTAAAGACCAAAATGAAAATTGGGTGTTTTTCCCCCATGGAAAAATGTCAATGAAAACATTACCTGCATCCTGCTTCAAAGACCTTTTAACACCAGACCTGAAAGAGAATCCTCTGAACTGTCATTCATACTTAAATTCAACACTTTTCACCTAGGTCTAAACAAAGACATTAATTATCTTACCCATTACAAAGATAGTTTCCTCAATTATCACCTCTAATATCATTAGCTCACAGACATTTACCTCCCCCCATCATTCCCCTTCTGTTCTGAAATTTGATTTGCCCTTTTCATATGTGTTCATTTTTTGTATTGTATCCTTTGGTATATATGGTTGTGCCAATTTTCTTCCATTATTTGATCTGAGGAAGTGGGTCTGGCCCACGAAAGCTCATCACCTAATAAACCATCTTGTTAGTCTTTAAAGTGCTACATAGTCCTGTTTTTTGCTTCTTTGTTCAACATGCATGCTGTACCAGTTTATTTCAGTAGGGACCCAAGGACCTGTTTACTACTTATAAAAAAAAGTGATTCTGCCCTGCAAAGGGATTCTATGCAAGGAGCATCACAAACTTCCAAGTTTATCATCTTTCAATGACTTGAAAACCAATCTCCTCAAATCACAAGTAAAATGATGATGATATTCCCTTACTGCCCTGCAGTGCAAGCTGGGTTGGTTTTACCTCTTTCATCCACACTTTGCAATATTCTGTGATTGGAACTTTGCTAATGCTCAGTTGGCAATGCACCAGCCAGACTAAATGCCAACTTCTTCTCCTTTCATTGGACTGGTTCTGCAGACCTACCAGGAGTAAAAATAGTAATCACTTCTTTGAATCAATAAAGTGAGTTGTTTAGCCTCAGGAGGTCCATAGGGACTAGATGAAGGGCCTGAATGAATGGAAAAATTTGCATTAATTTTAATTGGGTTTGGATCAAGCCCTACTTGATCAAGGACCCATTTGGACATAACCACTGCAGGTTAGATAAGTGCTGATTGTGTTTCATTGTGCACTGGCTCAAGTGACTCTCCAAAGGATGCTACTTCCGTTTCTAGTAGCGATTAGAGAAGAGAGTGGGATGAAGAGAAGGAAGGAAGAGAACAAAAGAAGAGAGTAGGAGAGAACAAAAGAAAAAGAGAGAGGGCCAAGGTATCCTCACATATGCCTATCAACTTTTGCTAGAAATGAGGCTCATGAAATAATTGCAGATCCCATACAATTTTCATTAATCCTAGTGTCCTACTTTACCTTGCATTCATCGTGTTTGCATTACAGCATGTTCTGCCTTCTAATCTGCTATCAGCACTAAGGAGTCACTTGTAATGTGAAACCAGACAAGCAAACCCAGTCACAATAAATATTATACAGGGCCACTGTAGCCCAATGCTGAAACAACTGAGTAGAATAGAACAGGGTTGGTCTGTGAAGCACAGAGCTACATTCCATTGTGATGGGGGCAGGATAAACCTGTCCCTTTCTGTCATTTCATTGCTCTCTGCAGATTATTGGAATGAAGAGAGGAATCTGTAGGAGGTCTCAGAAGAGAGGATGTGTGCTGGAGAGGAACTTGCCCAATGAGTCTGCAGCTCACTTTTGCAATGATGAGTGGCAAAGATAAAGCAAGTGGACAAACAATTTGCCCTCATGCTTACACCTTGTCATCAGGGATGCTGGGAAAATAAATGCAGAATTAGACACTATGGCCTAAATCCTAACTTGAGTGGCTGGTGCCTAGGTAAGAACTGAATACAGATGACAAGAGAAAGAAGGAGAAGAGAAATGTGTACAAGGTTGGAGGGAGGGCTGGATGATGGGTTGGAGATCAGAATGGTGCCCAAGGACATAGGAAGACAAGACAATTATGATTGCATTATTATTTGTGGCGCCTCCTCGCCTGAAGGAGATCAAAATCCCATTGTGCACAAACACAGACAGACAGTTCTTGCCCTAAGCACCTTCCACTTCAACACAGAGTATGTATTATGGTTCCTTTTTGTCTGACATGAAGTCAAGACACAGAAGGGTAGGATGACTTGCCCATAGAAACCTGTGCCAGATCTAGAAACTGAACCTACATCTGTTAGGCATCAGTTTAATATTGTGGGCACAAGGAAAGGAAGTTACTCACCCTATGTAGTGATGACTTTTCTTTGAGGTGTGTCCCCCTGTGGGTGCTCCACTTAAAGTGACGGGAGTGGGTGCTCCACTTAAGAGCTTTTTCTCAGCAGTCGGGTCACTCATGCACAGCAGGTGGCTCACGCGGCTGGCAGTTGAGCACTTTGCACGTGGCCCAACTCCCCCCTTCAGTTCTTTGTCTACCACAGAACAATTGGACTCCAAGTAGCAGGGAGGAAGGGAGAGTCATGGAGCAGCCACGAGGATACACACCTCGAAGAACAGTTGTCACTGCACAAGGTGAGTAATTTCCTTTTCTTCTTCGGGTGCTGTCTCTGTGGGTGCTCCACTTAAGGTGACTACAAAGCAGTACTCACTATGGCTAGTGGGACTCGGAGTCACTGCTTAATAGTGGAAGATAGAAGTGCTGTAGCCACTGTTGTTTCTGCTGCTAGCTGAGGCATGATGGCATAATGCCTAGAGAAAATGTGGTTGGATGACCAGGTGCCTGCCCGGTAAATGTCTTTAAGGGGCATGCTGCTCACGAACACTGTAGATGTTGCTGTAGCATGGGTGGAATGTGCTCTCGGTGTTACTATCAGTGGTTTGTTGCAAAGAGAATGGCACTGGAGTATGCAAGCTAATATCAGTTTGGAAATGTGTTGCGTGGCGAGTTATTGCCCCGGAGTAGTTTGCAACAGAGACAAACAGATGTAGGGATTTACAGAATGCTTGAGTTCTGTCGATATAAAAAGCCAAAGAAGCCCTTCTAACATCCAAGATATGGAGCATAGCATATCTGGGAGACGTGTGGCTTTGGGAAAAACATAGGTAGGACTATGGGCTCATTGATGTGAAAATAGGTGCTGACATTAGGCAGAAAAGCAGAATGAGGTCTCAAAGTCACTTTGTCTTTGGCAAATACAGTGTATGGTGGGCCCACTATTAGGGCTCCTATCTCACTGACCCTCCTAGTGGATGTGATGGCCACCAGAAAAAGAACCTTTATTGTGAGGGGCAGGAGTGAGCATGAGACCATCGAGGGGGGGGGGGTCTCAATTTGGACTCAAGAACCAGGATTAGGTCCCATGATGGCGCTGGGGTCCTATGAGGAGGATAGAGGTTTAGGGTCCTTTGAGAAAACTTCTAGTCACTGGATGCGCAAACACTGATGACTCCTCCTTGTGGTCATGGAAGGCTGTAATGGCTGCCAGGTGTGCTTTAATTGAAGAAATAGGCTGTCACTCTTTAAGCCACGCAAATAATTGAGGACCACATGGAGTAGAGCTTTGCCAGGATCAACATGCATCTGGTGACACCAGGATGAGAAGCATTTCTATTTTTGCAGGTAAGTTGTTCTTGTGGATTGCCTCCTGCTATGAAGGAGGGCACTTGTTCAGAGAAACCGGTGTGGCAAGATCAGTCCCACTCCAGGGCCCCTGACCCCTGTTCAGCCCACTGTCCCGCAGTCTAGGAGTCACCGTATATGGCTCACTCGACTTGGTTTAAGATTTGTCGTCTCCCTGTAGTCTTTAACAAGGTCGATGATGCTCTCTTGGCTCCTCCCGTGTCTTTCTCTCTTCAAACTCCTCCTCCACTCTCCAAAACTCCTTCACAGCTCCCCAAACTCTCTCAGTTCTTCAAACTCCTTCTCAGCTCTCTCTCCCTTCACCCATAGGGAGAGTTCTTAAATAGGCCTCCAGGCAGCCCCAATTAGTTTCACCTGGGCCTTAATTGATTTTGCAGCCGCCCTGTCTCAGCTGCCCCTAATTAGCCAGGATTGCTGACTCTCTTTGCAAGAGCTGCCTCCTTCCCCTTCCACCAGGCTCTTTAACCTGCTGTATCACCCCTGCTCTGTCATACTGGATTCAGTGCCACAGAACCAGACAGGAGCCAGGCATGGAGATGAAGGGGCTGAGGCTGAGGGTGAAGTAGTCTGCCAGCGTTCTGGGAGAGGATAAGGTGACTCAATGGACATGTGCTGCAGGTACAGGAACCAGGTTTGTCTGGACCAGGATGGAGCCACTAGGATGACTTGAGCTGCATCTGAGTGGATCTTGCTCAGGATTCTGGGAATCAATGGCACTGGAGGGAAGGCTTAGTGAATCTGTTATGCTGTGGCCCGTGGGTGGGAGTGAATGACCTTGTGCTGTTAACTATGCTGCTATTAACATGACCCTGTGCTGAACACACCAGTTCCAAAGGTGGATAGCCTCTCCTCAGAGGGGTCGGGAATGAGCTCCACCATGTCTGTTTATGTAGAACATGGTTGTAGTGTTGTCTGAAAGTATATGAACGGTACAGTTGGTGATGGCCAAGACGAAGTGTCTGCATGCATTCCTGACAGCTCTGAGCTTGAGAAGATTGATGTGCATCGTGAGGTAACCATTTGCCCTGCACTGTCTGGTAATTCAGGTGTGTGCCCCACCCTCCTAGTGAGGCATCCATTATGATCTCTACTGATGGTTCTGGTTGGAGAAAGGGAACCCCCGTGAGTAGGTTGGGAGGGATGCCTACCATTTGAAGGAGTCCAGCACTTGCTTGGGCACAACTACTAGCTTGTTCAGTGGATGCTGCGATGATATATAAACCAATGGCAGCCAATGCTGCAAGGTCCGGAAGTGCAGGAATCCATACTGGACCACATACGTGGTGGCCGCCATATGGTCCATCAGTTGGAGGCAGGTATGCACCATCGTAGAGGGTTTCACGAGTAGGGTGGTGACTAGGTCATGTACCATATCTAATCTTTGCTGCGGCAAATACGCTGTGGTTGATATGGAGTTGAGCCATGCCCCTTGGACTGGGTTGAAAGTTGACTTCTGCTCATTTATCAGGAGCCCTTAGAGGTTGAAAAGTTCATATGGTCCATCAGTTGGAGGCAGGTATGCACCATCGTAGAGGGTTTCACGAGTAGGGTGGTGACTAGGTCATGTACCATATCTAATCTTTGCTGCGGCAAATACGCTGTGGTTGATATGGAGTTGAGCCATGCCCCTTGGACTGGGTTGAAAGTTGACTTCTGCTCATTTATCAGGAGCCCTTAGAGGTTGAAAAGTTGTTTGGTCTTTGCTATCATGCTAGCTGTTTCCATTCTTGAGTGGCCCTTTATTAGACAATCATCTAGGTATGGGAAGATAATGATCCCTTGACGTAGAAGGTAGGTTGCAACAACTGCTAGGACCTTCAAAAAGACCCGGAGAGGATAGGCCGAGGGGAGGACTTTTTGTTGGAAATGATCATCCCCCATGGTGAATCTTAGGTAGTGTCTGTCGGCAGGATGTATTGCGATGTGGAAATAGTATCAGAGGGGTAGCCGTGTTAGTCTGAATCTGCAAAAGCGGCAAGGAGTCCTGTGGCGCCTTATAGACTAACTGAAGTGTTGGAGCATAAGCTTTCGTGGGCAAAGACCCACTTTGTCAGATGTGGAAATATGAATCCTGTAAGTCAAGGACTGCGAACCAGTCCCCTTTGTCCAGTGCTGAGATGATTGAAGCCAGTGTGACCAACTTGAAGCGCTGTTTTTGCAGGAACTTGTTTAGCTTGCGGAGGTCTAGGATCTGTCTCCAGCTCCATGTGTGTTTCTGGGATAGGAAATAAATTGAATAAAACTCTCTTCCCTGGTATAGATCGGGGACTGTCTCTATAGCCCCTAGCTGGAGGAGCCAATCTATTTCTTGCTTGAGAGGTATCTCATGAGAGGGATCCCTGGAGAGGAAGAGGGAAGAGGGCAGGGTAGGGGGAAGAGAGGTGAACAGGATTGTGTACCCTGTATGAAAGATTTCCAGAACCCATTGGTCAGATGTTATTGTGTCCCAGTGATGGAGGAAGGAACTTAATCTGTGGTCGAATAGATGCTTCTGGCTTTGTTGCACTGAATGATCGGGGAGGTTGGGCAGACCCACGACCAACGTTTCAGATTTGCTGCTTAGGAGCCTGGGCACCAGAAGAGAATAGCAGTTGTGGGCATTTCCTCTGGTGTCTGCTGTCTGGAGCGATGGTATTCATATGACTTGTGTTGAGGATGGTTGCAATATGTGTCCTTATGTCTATTGTAGGGGGTGTAGTGCTTCCATCTGTATGGTGGCATATACATGCCTACTGTGCGCAGAGTGGTGTGTGAGTTCATGCTGCTGTGTAGAATCTCATTGGTGCTGGCCACAAAGAGCTTATTCTTGTCAAAGGGGAGGTCCTCCACCTTACTTTGGAGTTCTTTAGGGACTCCTGCGGCATGCAGCTATGATGCCCTCCTCATGACCATGGCTGTAGCAGTTGCTCTTGCTGCTGTGTCAGCTACATCCATTGCCAAGAGCAATGCGGCAATGCCGTGCCCTTCCTGGATGACTGCCCCAAAAATGGGCCTCTTAGATTCTGGTAGGTATTCCATAAGTTTGGCTAATTTGAAGTAATTGTCAGAATCATGATTGGCTAAAAGGGTGGAATAATTTGCTATTCTGAGCTGTAAGGTGGCCGAGGAGTATACCCTCTTGCCAGATTGGTCTAGCTTCGTGTGTTCTTTGTCCCCGCTCTTCGATGTAAGAGGAGGGACTTTTGACCATTGGTTTGCATTGGAAATGTTGGATGCATCGGAAAAGCCAGCACGCTGAGAGGAAGGATTCGTGTGACCGCTTTGAAGCTGGCTCTGCATCCTTCACTGCCGCTGAAGTGCTTGTTTTGGTGCCGAGGCTTGTCAGTGAGCTATTCCTGATGCAGAGGAGGAGCACATAGGTGCCTGAGGCAGGTCTCAGCACTGCAGTGCTGAAGGTGCTTGGCATGTCTGCCCTGCTCACTTTGGGGGATGGATGGGGTGGCAGTGATTTGGCTGGTGAGACCCTCCTCTTCTAATGCCTCTGTGCTGTTGGGGAGGCAGATCTGAGTTTTGGAAACTCTGCCGCCTGACTCAATGGAGGTTCCTCGGCAGGCTGCAAAGCCTTCTCGAGGGTCATGCGGAGCCTGTGCTCCCGGACCTTTCTTGCCCTGGCAGTTAAACTGCAGCAGTGATTGCACGCCTGTGGTATGTGTGACTCCCTTAGACATCTTATGCAGCAGCTATGGCCATCAGAGGCTGACATTGGATCATTTCAGCAGCGGCACTTTTTAAAGCCCTGAGAGCCCAGTATAGTGGGAGCTGTTAAAGTTTGAGGCTAAGGGGAAGGGTTCTTGCTTAAACCATCCGCAAGCTTCTGTGGTAAAGTTTACTGGCTTCAGTCTTTTTAAGTTTGGTTGTTGTTTTGTTTTGCTTTTCAGGTGCTAAGGAGTGCGGGTGGTTAGAGAAGAGCAGAGCAGCCACCGCTGAAGTGGTTCGTGTGGACCAGAGCTGAGGAAACAGCTCATCTTCTTCCTTTTTCCCCTCCTCTTGTACTGGAGTGGCAAGACTGTAACCAAAAAGTAATTTGTAACTAAATGAAATTAAAAGGTCAACAGGAGAGAGTGAAGAGAGGAATGCCTGAAGCGGCAAGAGAGCTCTGTCCCACCACCAAGGACAGTAGAATAGGAACTGAAGGGGAGTCAGGCCTCACACAAAGCACTCAACCACCAGCAGTGCGAGCTGCCTGCCACACGTGCAGCCCAACTGCTAACTGCTATGAAAAAGCTCCGATTCTGTGGCTCCACGGATGACCCGTCATCTTAAGTGGAGCACCCACAGGACAACACCCGAAGAACAACAAAGTTCCTTTCAACCTGTCCCAGCCTGCACTTCACTGCAAGGGAGGGCTGTGACAGTATTGTATTGCACCCACTCTTGTGTATTTGCCCCAAATTCTGTGGGCTACATGAGGATTAATGAAAGCTTATGCTACTCTGATTCTGTTTATGCTACTCATACACATGTATGATTTTTGCATGTAAAGTTATGAATATGGGTTCTGTACTTGATTTGAAATGTTTTCTGTCTCGGAAACTGCAGTGGGCATTGACCACCAATTGTGTGGGGTGGTTACTCAATGAATAGCTATGTTGCATGGAAAATGGATCTTAAGTGTTGCCAATAAACACCAAAGGAATTCTGCTGGGAACCTGCAGACCAGAAGTAAGCCTGGCTGTTTGAATAAAAAGGACATGGACAAGTTCCATTTTGGGAGGTATCATCACACCGGAGAACAATGGATTTTCCTCCACATTAGCAAGATTATAAAAGGATCCTGGAGGTTCCTCCTCTTTGTCTTCACTCCTGCTCTTGACCTCAGCAGCATACTTACTATGAACAGTGAGCCCAGAAGGATCTGTTGACCCATCTTCACAAAGAATGCACTCCAGACACTTTCAAGATAGCAGTTTATTAAATCTATGTTAAAAGACTGCATCAAGAACTTGGTGATTGATGTATGTAATATAATTTCTTTAACAGTTATACTCTGAAACAGTTATTTCTTTCTTTTAATAAACATTTAGATTTCAGATTCTAAAGGAAGGTGGACACAGAATAGCCACAGCCCATGCCTCCCTGCGAAAGAGGGCACCCACCGAATGCCAGAGGACCACACCTCCCTACGAAGGAGGGTGGCTGCTGAACGCCCAAAGACCACTGAATGCCTCAGGTTGGGAGGCTGCTGAATGCCCAAGGGCAGTGCCTCCCTGCAACGGCAGGCAGCCACTGAATACACAAGGGCTACGCCTCTCTGTGAGGCTGAGCATCTGCTGAATGCCCGATGGCCGCAACTCCCTGTGAAGGTGGGCAGCTATGGAATGCCTGAGGGCCGCAACTCCCTGTGAGGACAGGAAGCCGCCACACAGCCAATGGCCACGACTTCCTGTGAAGGCAGATGGCTGCTGAATAGCTGAGAGCTGCGGCTCCCTGCAAAGGAGGGTAGCTGTTGAATACTCAAGGAGTGCAACTCTGTATGAGAGCAGGCAGCCAACCAATGCACCCTAGGCCACACATCCCTGAAAAGGAGGATGGCCACCAAATGCAAAAAGGTTGTACCTCCCTGTGAGGGAGGGTGTCTACTGAATGAGGATTGTGCATCCCTGCGATAGAGGATAGCTGCAAAATGCCCCCAGCCCGTGCATCTCTGAAGGAGAGTGGCCCCTGAATTCCCAAGGGCCATGTTTCCCCATGAGGGAGGACGGCAGCTGAATGCCCCCGGTCTATGCCTCCCTGTGAGGAAGGGTGGTGGCCAGATGCCCAAGGACAAGCATCCCTCTGTGGGAGGACATCCACCGAATTTCTAAAGGCTACACCTCCCCGCGAGGGAGGACGTCCGCCAAATGCTCGAGGGCTGAGCCTCCCTGCCAGGGAGGGCAGTTGCCAAATGTCCAAAGGCTGTTTCCCCCTAAGAGGGAGGGCAGACGCCAAATGCCGCTGGCCCGCCCCTCCATACAAAGGAGGGTGGACGCTGAATGTTTGAGGACCACACACTTCCCTTCAAGGGAGTGTGTCCACTGAATTTCGGAAGGCCGCACCTCCCTGCAAGGGAGAATGGCCTCCTAATGCCGTCCCGGTGCACACCTCCCTGGGAGGGAGGGTAGCCACTGAATACCTCTGGCCCGAACCTCCTTGTGAGGGAATCCGACAAATGGCCGAGGGTTATGCCTCCCTGTAAGGGAGGGTGGCTGCCAAACAGCCACTGTTCACGCCTCCCTGTGAAGAAGGGCAGCTGCAAGGGAGGGCAGCTGTTGAATGCATCCGGCCTGTGCCTCTGTACAAGGGAGGGTGCCTGCTGACTGCCCGAGAGCTGCACCTCCCTGCGAGGGAGAGTGTCCACCGAACTTCCAAAGACCGCACCTCCCTGCAAGAGAGAGTGGCTGCCTGATGCCCCCGTGTACACCTCTCCTCACCTGCAAAGGAGAGCAGCCATCAAATGCATCTGGCCTGTGCCTGCCTGTGAAGGAGAGTGGCAAACAAATGTCCAAGGGCCACACCTCCCCACGAGGGAGGGCAGCTGCCAAAGGTCAAAAGGCTGCATTTCCCTGAGAGGAAGGGTGGTCGCCGAATGCCCCTGGCCCTCCCAACCGAAAAGGGAGGGCGGTCACTGAATGTCCAAGGACCGCACCTCCCTGCGAGGGAGGGCGTCCGCCAAATTTCCAAAGGCTGCACTTCTCTGCAAAGGAGAGCAGCCACCTCATGCCCCCAGCGCACACCTCGCTAAGAGGGAACGTAGCTGCTGAATACCCCTGGCCCACGTCTCCCTGCAAAGGAGGTAGTCCGACGAATGTCTCTGCAAGGGAGGGTGGCTGCTGAATGCGTGAGGACTGTGCTTCCCTGTGAGGGAGGGTGGCTGTTGAATGTGAAAGGGGCATGCCTTCCTATGAGGAAGGGCAGCCACCTAATGGCCCAGGCCCATGTTTTTTTCATGAGGGAGGGTGGCTGCTGAATGCCCTCCTTGCTTGCGCCTCCCTGTGAGGAAGGGCAGCCGCTGAAAGCCCCTGGCCTGCGCCTCCCTGTGAGGGAATACTGGCAATGAATACCTGAGGGTTGCTCCTCTGTGCGACGGAAGGCAGCTGCCAAATGCCCCCAACCTGCACCTCCCTGCAAGGGAAGGCAGCTGCCAAACGGCCTCAGCCCATGCCTCCCTGTGAGGGAAGGTGGCAGCTGAATGTCCGAGGGCTGCATGTCTTGCAAGGGAAGGCAGCCGCCGAATACCTCCAGTCCCTACAAGAGAAGGCGGAGGACAAATACCAGAAGGCTGCACCTCCCTGCAAGGGAGAGTGGCCACTGAATGACCAAGGACTGAACCTTTCTTCAAGGGAAGGCAGCCTCTGAATCGACTTTTCAGTTTAGAAAAGAGGAGACTGAGGGGGGATGATAGAGGTCTATAAAATCATGAGTGGTGTGGAGAGGGCTGATAACTTTTCATTATTTATTAGTTCCCATAATAGAAGAACTAGAGGACACCAAATGAAATGAATGGGTAGCAGGTTTAAAACTAATAAAACAAAGTTCTTCTTCACACAGCGTGTAGTCAACCTGTGGAACTCCTTGCCAGAGGAGGCTGTGAAGGCTAGGACTATAATAGAGTTTAAAGAGAAGCTGGATAAATTCATGGAGGTTAGGTCCATAAAAGGCTATTAGCCAGGGGATAAAATGGTGTCCTTGGCCTCTGTTTGTCAGAGGCTGGAGAGGGATGGCAGGAGACAAATCGCTTGATCATTGTCTTCGGTCCACCCTCTCTGGGGCACCTGGTGCTGGCTACTGTCGGTAGACAGGATACTGGGCTAGATGGACCTTTGGTCTGACCCAGTACGGCCGTTCTTATGTTATGTTCTTAGTGTGTAGATGTTCTTATTCTTCCAGGTGTTTAGCAAATTTTTAAAAATTGATTGAGTTTACCAATTCTTGCTTTCACTAATGAAGTATATTGTTTTCAAGGGAGCAGTTTCACAATGTTTAAAGTTTCAAATGACAATGATCTTGTACTATAATTATTATTTTTTTAAATAATACAAAACAAAAAGCTCCAAAGATGCTTAATCTAGTATGGGATATTAAATTAAGAATGCCCAAAAATATGAATATCCCTTAGAATATAGAATAACGTATCATAACTAGAATAAAAATAAAATGAAAAATATATTAATAGCACAGAATATGCAATACTGCTATTAAAAATCAAAATTAAATAAAATATAGCAGCAGTAGCCAAACATTTTAGAATTAGAGCCATTTAATTATTTATTTTGAGAGTTTGAAGCACATAATACTTTTAATCTCTTCCAATTTTATAAAGACTCAAAATTCCATTGATTTAAAATTCCTGTTGTAGGAGTTGTGGAAACACTGGATTGCCATCTGATTACACACCAAAAACTAAGAGGGCATACATATCAACCAAAGTCAATCTCTCTTCTTCCACTGCTTAATTTAAAACAAAAATCAGTTTTAGGAAAAGGGAGTTCAGCTGTCATTTTGTTTCTATTTTAGAATTTACAGTAAAGGTCATGTGAATGTACACTTATCTCAAATTTGAACTATGTTGTTCTAGATCAGGCATGTCCAAAGTCCGGCCCGCGGGCCAATTGCGGCCCGTGTTCCGGTTTAATACGGCCCCCCCAGGTAATTTGGCAATATCTATCTTTTATGGCCCCCAACGAATCCATACGTATTGAGATGAATACACTGTAAAATCTCAGTTAATGTCAGTTGGTCTAAATCAGTTATAAATATATTTGGACACAACATGTATACTTGGTGTTATGTTCCTGTTCATATTTTTTTTAACTTAAAAGTTGACAGACAACCTTTATTACCAATAATATGTAATGTACTTTACAATGTTCCTGACATATTTCAGCTTCCTGGATTTTTTTTTTCATCTGGCCTTCAGATATGAAAGGCAGAGTGATTTAACACCTGTTTAGATTTGTCATCCATGTGACGAAATGAAAAGTATGCCGTTTGCAATAAACTTTGCATAAAATAGTTAATTTGCATTTAATTTTAATGGTTCAAAGAATGTCAGGCAAAATGGTCGGCCCTCACGCATGTTCACTTCATCAAATCTGGCCGTCTTTGAAAAAAGTTTGGACACTCCTGTTCTAGATTAAGAAAAGAAAGGTGATAAACACCAAATACCAAAAAAGGAATCTATTTGTCAATCTCAAACATTTAAGATCTTTTCACAGAATTAGTGTTTGGATACCAAGGTTTTTCCCCTTTCCCTCTGAAGTGGAAGATGAGTTTTCATGCCTTTCTGAAGAAGGAGCAACACAAAATTAACAAATGTATTTGATGTGATGTAACTTCAAATTTTCTTCCCAGAACAATCTAAAAATGTACTTGGATATAATGTAATCTCTCTTCTCACAAATGAGAGAGTCTACAATATTCCTGCTTTCCATTGCCATATTTAAAGTGCTTGTCAAAAGGATATCAAAACAGTGATGTGTGTATAAATATCTACACAAACTGAAAAATATTCCCAGAGCAGCATAATTTAGTGGATAGTCTCTCTTCCATATTATAGTATTCAAGTTAAAAAAATTATTTAGGCCTTTGCAATGTATATTTGAGGAACAAAAGGTTAAGCACATCAGTTATGTAAACTCCTTTCTTGATTTCCATTGCATCATTTTTCAGTCACTCTCACCATTCTGTGTCAGACAGCTAAACAAAATATGGGAAATACTTCTATACTTCACCATGCAGGGGTCACATTTATTTCCATTCTGGGACACTGACCTATTTTAAAAACAAGTATTTTTGTGTTATCATATAAATACAGTCAACACAAAACAAGACGTACAACAATTTGAATATTAATTTAAAAAAAAAAACAAGGTAGTTTGGACCAAATTCTGTTGCCACTTCACGTGAAGAACTCCCACAAACAGAGTTTAACACACAGGGCAAATTCACCCACAAGGTGGGCCATTACCACTTACAACCAATGTAAACCCTATTTTGAGACAGCACAGCACTATCAAGTAATGGCACTATTTATGTGGTGCATACGCTTTGTGCTGGTCTTCTCTACAGGGTGAATTTTAAACAGCAACAGAATTCAGAATCTAAGATAGTTAACTTGAGATGCTCCCTATTCTAATATACCTTGCTTTTTTAGTTTTAAATAAAAATATCCATATTACTTTAACATGATTTTTATGTTTTCTTTTGTTTTGAACAGCAGCATAAATGAGGCCAGCTATTTGATTACTTATTCATCTCCATTTTAATCCATACAATGGTGTTGATAGATGAATCAAATGATGCTAAACACTGCAGCATGTATCTTCAACAAGATACAGTACATTATAAAGCTCTTTTGTATTATCACACAGTATGAAAACAATTACATTAATCTTTGACATGATGCATTGGAACAAGTCTTTCAGAGGCATTAAGTTGTGTCATAGCACTGTTTTTTTTACTGTGGATAGCAAGTCAATATTTGATATGATCTGTTATGTGAACCAGCTATATGAAGAGAAATACCTAGAGCTCTGCAAGCTATGTCAATACAGAGTAATACAGAGCTGGTATGTTAATTAGAAAGATTAAATATTCATAAGTTACTGCTCATGCATACTAACAGTTTGCAGATACTAGTAACTGAATTGTTATGATTAATTTACATTTACAAATTCATGCTAAATACAATTATACAATTAATATAATTAGGAGCATAACTTTCAATTCTCAAGTTATTTTTGTCTCTTAAAAACAGATTTTTAACCTCCTCTTTTTAAAGGTTCATTGTGAAAGTATATATACACCAAATTTATATTCACGACTACTGTTTACTGTTGAGTTTTAAAGGCCAAAAAGGATTTCTAATACAATAGAAAATACAGTATAATAGCCCTACTTTACTGATAACTTCCATAATTCAATGGCTGTACAAAGCAGATACACTTGAATTCTACCTACCCTGAGTTCAACATTTACACTTTTTAAAATTTATGTTTTAAGCATCAGATAACATACAGAAGTATGTACAAGGCTATAAAATGTGTCAATTATACAGCAGTAAAAAAATACTTGAATATTTTCAGCCAATTTTTTGTTCTATTTCTTTTTTTAAGTTTAGCTGTTTCTGGTTCTTATTTTAAAAATAAAGTAAATAATTATTTGTTTAGACATTCTTTTATTGACTACTGCTTTTTTTTTTAAATCAAGGAGTCAACAGTAAGGCAACAGTAAAAACAGCATTGTTATAGAAATGTTGCATATGTGTAAAGGTAGTAAGTTTATAAAAGACATCAGTGCTTCCTAAAAAAGACAGTCTAGTTGTAGTATCATAAAATTACACAGTGGTGGGAACAATTATCTATTTTCAACAATAATTTCTCTGTAGAAAAAAGTTAATCTAGCTGTAATTATTTTTTGTGAAGAAAAAGCATGGAAAAAGTTGTTATGCCTGTGGGACAAGCACATTAAGAAAATATACTTTTGTCTAAACTTAAATAAAAGGTCCACACTTGTGTGTCAAAACATTAAGCCTCTGTCAAAAATGTATTTCTTTCTTTATAGTACAGGACTGAAAGACAAGATGATGCTTACAAAGTAAAGAAATAATTTACAAGAAAATATCTTCTGACAAAGCTTTCCAATCAAAATATTGTTTTGTAACATTCAAACATGACATACAACACAACAAAAGAAACAGCAAACAAACAAAAATGTTATATGGATTGTTTTCAAACACATAAATAAATGAAATATTGTATAGGCAGTAGGGCTCATGCTGATGGCTAGCAGGAAGCAACAGTGTGCAATCTACATGGAAAAAAGTTCTAATGTACAAATTACAGGCCCAATTATGGACTGCAGCAAATTCAATTATATCACTGCCATCTTCTGATATCTTCAAAAAATAAGTCTTGATTAAGCCACTCATGCCCAATTATTACTCATACCGTTGCTTCAGAGATGTGTAACTATATACAAAAAAGGTATTTTTATTTCACCATAGGGATAGCATTTTACCTCTCCCAATGTCATTTGAAAACCTTCCATGTCAAAACAATTTGACAGCAGAAAAACAATTTAATAAATACGTAATATTACAGTTTTTTAGGTAAGCATGTTAAATCATGCTGCTAGTTTTATGATCACAGTGCACAAAATCCAAATAATAAAGAACAGTGTGGTTTTAAAGAAATGTTGGATTCCTTGCTTATAATCCCAATATATCTGAAACTTTCCATAAGCCCTACTATGCAATCAATTTATTTTGCAGCAGGAGCAAAAACTTTTCTTGTTATAACATCCATTGCCGGCAATGGATGTGACAAAACCGCGAAGGAGTTCAACTATTATTGCACAATACATGAAGATCTGGAATTCTGCCGAAAGCTTAAAAATAAAAATAAATGGAATTTTCTGACATCTCCAGACATCTGCATTAATACTGTATGACTAATAAAAGCATGTCAGTTGCATGGACTGAACCAGCGATCAACATGCGCCCAGAGTGCACACTAGTAAAAATGCAGTCAAAGGAAGTAGTCTTCATTGTCTATAGGTCACTTCCAGTCAAAGGTTAAAGTTCAAAGACTGAATGATCAAAGTGCTCGTTTTCTTAGTAGGACAATCTTCTGCTAGGAGGATCACCAAATGTTGTCATCAACAGGTGTCATCTTTAAAATAAATAAAAATTATGGAAAGCAAATACACATTCAAATCTGAATTTTTATGAGGTACAGATGCAGAAGTGACTCCTAGCATTATACCTTTACCTACATGCTATCATATAATATGTCTAGCACTGTTATAATTATGGAGATTTATTATATAGTATAAAGTAGGATAAAAAGTATGACCTTTGTCCCATGCTACACAGTGACTAAGAAAACGTGCTTATCAAAATTATGATTTAACCATGTTGTTATATACTATCAATAAAAGTTATTTTTCATATTAAATATTTTGTATTCAATAATTAACAATCTAAACAATCCATTGTTAGCCTGAAATAAAAAAAAATCGGTTTCCTTTCGCCATTTTGCCCTCCACTAATATGCACTATGCATCTTAGTTTGCTTTGATCTTTTGCTAACTGAAAATGCTCTTAAAAGAAAAAAAAACACACACATAAATTTGGCAAACAGAATTAAAAATATTAGGAAGGCCACATTTTGAGCAAACCATATCATCACCTGTAAGTGAGTTTAAACTACACCTGGTTTTAATCCAGTTATTTGAAAATTAGTTATCTGACAAGCTGGACTTCTCAAGAAGAGGCTTCCTAATAGTGGCAAGACAGAAAAAAAATTGCACACAGTTGCGTGAGAAGGTGGTAAGCATGAATTTCATTAAGTGGAGAGAAGTATCTTAGGAACAACCACAAAAATATAGCTGATGCAATATAAGGCAAAACGTAAAAAGCTGTTGTAAATCTAAGGTCTTGCATATGGAAATGTTTTTCATCAACTCAATGCATATAATTGTCCCCACACATTTCCCTAGTGAAACGCAATATTAATGGCAATACACTAACTTTCAGATTTGTTTCTTCTTTCACAATATTCCACAAGTCACCTGAAGCCTTTCAATGCAGCTACAAAAATGATCTAAGTTATGCATCCAGTTAAAAAGATTAAGTTTAAGAATGGATCTGACTCTTGCTCACAAAGCTTAGTTTACAGGCTCTGAGATTCCAGAGCACAAAACTCCTGGAAGCCTAAGCAAACTGACACTAGCTGGTCAGAGGTATTTTACTCTAATGTAGACATACCCTAAAGTGCACTGTCAAGAAAATAAAAAAAAAGGACTCCAAAGCAAATGCCAGTTGTGTCAGGCTTCCTCCCCCTCCACAGACCTCAATGCTACTCCAGATTTTTGCCTAGAAAAGTGCTGCCTTTTAAAATTTACAAACCTCTTCCTAATCTCAGTTAACAGTAAAATCATTTGTATTGTTAGAGAACTGCTATGAATTGTGTTATTCAAATATACATGTCAAATAATGCTAGAGAAATTATTATAGATGTAGTATTAGAAGAATAAGAATATATAAATACATTTTAGCTTTTTGAATGAATCTCTACTGATGCAACATTTCAGAATTCATCTGAAGCTGCTTCAAGGTTGTGTGAATCATGAAACTTGGTCTGTGTATCTTATGTGAAAAACCTTTGGTCTAGGCAAATAACAAGATGAAGCAGAGGGACAAGAGGGCTCCAGGAGTGACCCCTGCAAGAAGTAAAAGCTCAAGGCCACAAAAATATATCAGTAAGGATAACTGCTATTGTAAAGTAAGAACTGGATAGAGATAGTCAGACTGACAGAGATTAGATAGAAGAAGAAAGATAAGGTACATTTTAGCAGGATGACCAAAAATGTATTCGTTTAGATTAGATATTGTGATTTATGAACAAGTATTTTAATTATAAAGGTACACAGATGAGGTAACTTGGTTAACTGTGTTTGCACAATGGTATCGAACAAGGGATACAAAATAAGTGATTAACAACAAGAGAGTGGAGAAGACTTGAGGAAACCATACCAGAGATCTGAAGAGTGTGTCTTACTGGCCTCAGGAAAGGTAATTTGGCCATTTACTTTTCTTGCCTTGCCTGTTTTTGCAGGTATATGTAATTCAGAGGTGAGAAGAGTATTGTTTAAAATGGACATAAAGGCAACAAGAAACTATTTAAGCCTAAATTTTAAAAAGTGTTGACCTTATCAATACTTCTGTACTCTCTAAATTAAACAGAAGGAGGGTGAAAAACTAAAACTCATCTTTGACTAGGCTAGTTAGACAGGATGTATTAGAGATAAAGAGTGAATATCTGACCTGTCTACAGATAATCCAAGAAACACGCAGGAGCAATCAGGGACATTGGTTCAGGACAAACACCATCTTCCTTCCATAGGAATTGATCTCTTGCCTAGTTAGGGAAGGCTAAAGAACACATAAAGGGTGTGACTAGACCACAGGGTTTTGTTGACAAAAGTGGACTTTTGTCGACAAAACTATACCTGCGTCTACACTACGCCGAGTTCTGTCAACATAACGTCGACAGAACTCGGCAGGTTTGTTGACGGTGGTAAACCTCATTCTACGAGGAATAATACCTTTTGTTGACAGAGTTCTGTCGACAGAAGGTGTTATTGCATCTACACTGTCCTTTGCGTCTACACACTCATGTTGACAAAGCAACTTGCTTTGTCGACAGAAGTGGATGTAGTCTAGATGCTCTTTGTCGACAGAAGCTTTGTCGACAAAGCCTCTGTCGACGAAAGCCTGTAGTCTAGATGTACCCAAACACTTTAAGTGACAGTGTTTTTGGGAGTCTGAGACAAAGTCCCCAAAGAGTCACAATCAGATAGGGTGAAGGCAAATCTGAGAACAGTCATATGCCTGTGTCACTATTTTTAAAAGCCCCACTTGAGCATTACTATCCCACTCACATGACTTTGAGCTTAGTACCAATCACTTCTTGGAGAAAGACAAAATGCTTTTTCCCTTGCAACAGGGAAATGGGAAAAATGAGACTGACTGCTTCCTCTCTCTTTGAATAGGGCAGATCATAAAGACTGTCTAAAAGGCTGAGAACAGCTCTTCTGCAAAGGCAGGAAGATCAGCTCTGAAGATAAGCTTCCTATCTTCCCACAATCCAGCACATCTTCAAAGTAATTACATTTTTAACAATCGCTATCTAATTCCCCCTGCGTGCCACTGTCATATAGCAGAAGCAAAGGAATTTAACCACAGTCACATGTAAATAAGGAGAGAGAACAGTAAAGGCAATACTACTGAAGGAATTCTGCACCAAAAAATTAAAAATTCTGTACAAAAAAAAATCTGCACAACATATTCTAAAATTCTGAAAAAAACCCTAAATTTTAGTCACCAATAAATAAATGTAGAGGCTCCAGCATAGTACTGGGGAGCTCAGGCCACTGGCTGCACAGTGATGGGAGATCACTCTGCAGCTGCCTCCTTGCCCCAGGGGACACAGACTCAATGGTAAATCTGCACCCAAACTTTTAGTGCAAGTGCTAGACTCACCACATAAATTTCCCAGGTTCTTCCCTTTCCTGCCACATATACCAAGATAATAAATGAGAGGGACAGCATCTCTCATATTTGCCCAGGTGTGCAGCAGGCAGGACCAGCTCAAGAGGATCAAAATGGGGAGGGGCTTACTGTGGGGGATCTATGTATGGAGTGAAAGGGTTCTGTGCATGGCAATCTGGGTGTGGGAAACTTAGTGAGGGATCCAGGAAGGATCTGGACACATGGGAAGTTTTAGGTGCAGGGGTCATAGGAGTATGCAGGGGGATCCAATTGAAGGTGGTTGGGAGGCATGCCTGAATATAGGGGGAGTAGAAATCTATGTGTAGCTGGTTGGGGCTCAGTGGGGTAGACATGCAGGGTGAAGGTTCAAATACTGGGAGCTCAGTGGAGGGTGGTCTGGTCTGGATGGGGTCTAGGTGTAGGGAGAGGGGTGTGACAGAAGTTTGGATGCGGAGAGGATGGAAAGCAGTGGACGTGTATGTCCTGTGTGGATTCAGTAAGGATGGGATGTGGGTGTGGGATACGGGGCTCAGCAGGGAATAATAGGTATGAGGGGGGCCAGATTACACAGGGCTTGGGTCAGCAGAGGAGCAGCTCCTTATATAGTACACCATCCCGTGTCTGAAAATGGAGCAGGAAGGGGGGGGGGGGGGGGAGAAAGTAAACTCAGGATGATTGAAAAAGCCACTCCTAGAAGAGAAAGAAGTCCTGTCTTCCCCCACCCTCAAACAGGGCTAGCAATCCTTTGAAATTCCTACTCCAAATTAAATACTTACCATGATACCACCATTTTGTTTTCTTTGGATTTTTGTTACATGTTCTTACATAAAATGAATTATCTGGAGGTCGCCTCTGCAATAGAAAAAAAACCTAAAAATAATCAAATAATCATTATATTACCTATAGTACATTATACATTTAATTAAGCTTTTACAAAGAATAAATATCATACATTTTGTAAAATGTGTTAAACGCAGGAATAGGCTCTATCTACACTGATCAGGAAACTCACTCTTGCACCTTTCTAGCAAGAACTTTAAGCAGGGATCCTTGTATAGAGAAAAATGGAACTTAAAATACAAGCAAACTAAAATGTTTCTGAAGCTTGGCTTCAATGTATAACAATTAGAGTTTTGAATCCCAGTTTATGTGAAAGTTTCAGAGTGGTAGCCATGACAGTCTGTAACTGAAAAAACAACAAACACTCCTGCAGCCCCCTTAGACACTAACAAAAAATGTAGATGGTATCATGAGCTTTCGTGGGCTCAACCCACTCCTTCAGATGAATTGAGTTAAGGGGTCCAGGCTGCAAAATAAATAGCAGAGAAAGAGAGGGGATGGAGAGGAAAATAGAAGGAAAAGAGTGAAAAAATTGTCAGTATTCATATTATATGAAGCTGATAGAGTGGGTTCTAAGTACTCTTAAGGATCCAGTACTTGGCTTTTTAGGTCATTAGGATGTGGAATGTAGTGAGTAATCCAGTTAAGGTCTTTGTTTAAACCTCTATTGCAGGTATCAAACTTGTAAATGAAATGAAGATCTGCAGCATTCCTTTCAAGCTGTTTTTTTTTTAAATTGGCTTGTAATAATATGGTAATTTTGAGATCCATTAATGAGTGCCCAGGCAAGTTAAAATATTCCCCAAAAGGCTTCCCCAACAGAAGCCTTTCATCTGAAGAAGTGGGCTGTGCCCACGAAAACTCGTGATACCATCTATATGTTTTGTTAGTCTGTAGGGATAACATATTAATGTATTGAAAATGATTCCCCCAAATGGAAGTGACTCCCCATAATTTGTTCCCCACAACTTAAAGTGTTTAGATTTATTATTAATTCTTCTTCTTATTATTATTTGTTAAGATTGTTAAATGTTTAGATTTATTATTATTATTGCCCCATTAGAATATAATGTATTAGGTCATGTAACTTAGAACTGTTAAGAATATAATCCTATGTAGCCAGAAACAGCCCCCCCTCTGTGCTCCAGGGCATGCTCAAGCTTGTGCAAGGGGCTGCTTGAAATTGACATTGCAGAGATACATTGTAACAATGCACTGTCAATCCACTAACTCTGCTATGGGAGCCAAGCCCTGTAATTGACTAAGGGCATT